ATTAGCACATAACATATTTTATATTAAAATAATAATAATATGGAACAGCCATTGTTAAAGACGAAAATCATATAATTTTATTGCTGTGCGGTTTGAATTCAATTTGGGACCGCCATGGCCTACGAATACAGCATGGCAGTGTTATTTTATGTTGGTTAACGTCAGTTGCAATCGAATGGTATAAAATGACGATTGGAACGTATTGCACGCTTCTGTGAGAATTTTCAATAAGTTTTGATATTTTTCGAAACCAAAATTAGATACATATGTGTTGTCATTATGTGGTGGTTTAAATGATTATGGATCGCAGGCATAAAATTACACCAAAAGTGATGGGAGATTATATTATTTATACAAATATACAATATAATTCACCAAGCAAGATCGTCACATTGTTTTCTTTCAATTATGAACTCAAAATATGGTTTAAAGATCATATTTTCAAAATTTTGAGATTTTTGTACTACAAATAAAATATAATACGTATATACCCTATGGAGTTTAGAAAACCCAGCACTCGTGTACCCTCAGATCCGTTTAAGAGATGCTCAGTGTTTTGGCATCGAGTACGGTCAGATTATTATCGTTCACACGTGTCAAGGCATATTCGATCTGAGAAAAACACGCTTGACTCGTTTGAAAACCTGAAAAGAAAATTGTCACGGACTATATTTTTTTCGACTCGAAACTGCAACGAATGCCCGGCCCGGACAAGTGAATGGTCGTATTTAAAATACACTAGATAATTTTTATTCCTATCCGAAGAGATTCCAGTCCGGAGCAGTGAGAATAGACCTTAAGTATTGTAAAAATAAAAAATAAGATTTTAAATGTGTTTAAAAAATTCTGAAAATCAGATTTTGAGTAATTACGTTATTGAAGAATCAAAAGGGAGCGGTAAGCATGCTTAGTGAATGTTTAATGTTTGTATTTCACTTGGCCGTATATTTTAATTACGACGTGTGAAACGTTAAAAAAAAAATATAAAAAAAAGAGAAAAAAAATAGACGTAAAACGTGTTACACCATGCAATTTGTACTGGCAATTTTATGAGAAGGACAATAGTGGTGGATGTATTATAATAATATATTATGTAACTACCATGTAAAACTTGTTATCCTGCTGTTTTGGTTTAATACATTCGCTATGTACAATGTATACTAATGACGGTCAGTTTGCGACAGCTGTTAAAATTGCACACGACATTACATAGTATTATTATTATTGTGAGTCATCATTTTCGAAAAATAATCTGAGTTGACGATTAAGTAAAAAAAAAAAAAAAAAAATAATGATTTACACGTTTGATTAATGTAGAAATAGTCACCGAAAAGCCTGTATACATAAAGAGAACAACGATGACGATTGAATTTTCCAGTTCGAGGAAATAATTCAGTCCCTATTATAGAATCGGCTGCGAAAATGGCTGCAATTATTATCCTTTTTGTTTTTGCTGTTACAAATGTAATACTATACGTTATACTTAGCCCCTTTCTGGTGTTCGCTCAACGGTGCTTTAGGTGAAGTATATATTTAATGATGACCCTAATTTAGAAAATTGGTTTTTTTTTCGATTTGACATATATTTTATATTATGTATTTAATAGGTAATCCTCGCATTATACGTTCTTTTTAAAATTTTAAATATTATAAACAAATGAAACATAAAAGTCGTAAGCTGCAATTTAACGGTTTATAATAATTGTTGTTAATACTTTAATTATTAGGATATAGAGAACAAATGAGTTATTCAAACTTGCAACTCATAAATATAACGAGTTTAAGAACAAAAATATTCATGTATTATATTATAGTGATATCGAAAAAATAAAATCTTTATCACATAATATTTTCCTGATATTTTTTTATTCAGAACTATAAACCTATAGTGATCTTTGTTTGAGAAGAAATGGGTTTAAAAACACTTAACAAACGAGTAGTGTTCACTTAAATAATGATTAAAAGTGATCCAAAAGTCATTTTACTAATACAATTGATAAAAAAAAAAAAAAAATTAGAAATAGTTGTGTATTCAATTAAGATTATGCTCACTGTTCACAAGTCCAAATATTTCACTATAAAAATCAAACATGTAAATGTTAAAAATATAAAATGTTGAAATATATTATATCCAGCGCGTGGTTTACATTTCCTTAACAATAAAATAATGAGAGCGGTTCGTCCTAATTATTGTTTCTTCTTTCTGATAGAATATCCAGCACTGTATTGATAAATTCGGCTTACCGAGTTTTAGGATTTTTTACAGCTACAGCTATCGTATGGCTTAATAATTCGATTTAATTATATTTTCTCCCAATGTTTGTAATAATTCATCACAATAACATAGAAAAAAAAAAAAAAATACAATCAAACACTCATTACCGGCCCACGGAGTTTTACTCAATAACTCGCCGGGTCAATTAGGCCCTGAGTACACCTGTAGATCGAATTTGATTTATGTATTTCTCTAACGATCAATAATTTATTACCTATAATATAATTAGACCCCGGTGTCAATATTTCAAATAATACTAAAAAACATGTACACCAATATAATATTGCACAGTGAAAGAAAAGTTAGTATTATCATAGAATAATAGATCCCTTTTTCTTTAAGCTTTTAATCGTGTAATCTTTGACGTCATTCATCATATTATTACGGTACACTAAAATAAAATAAAATGGAAAAACAATTCGGTAAAATACATTATACAGGTCGGTACGCGCAATCGACTCTGAAAATATGACACGTTTTTCTGAAGTTTAAAATGTACGATGTATACATCTATTTATTATAAATATTTTCGCAACATTTCAGCAGAAATACTCGTCTAAATTAACACTTGTATTTTCACGTTGCACGAAAAGTTTAATAATATTATTAAGGTTTTTGAAAATGTTTACTTCAAATAAGATTTTCGGGAAATCGTGACGATCAATGGATAGCTAAATTAATATTTAATTGATATCTTTTCTCGTTCTAATTGATGAAACCGACCAAACATAACATTAACATAATTATATCATATTATTATATTGATATCTCAGAAATGTTACTAATGAGTTTGTGACAAACTGTTTCTCTTGCATATAACTGTGTATATTAGGCATGCGTTTATTTATGTTAATTATTCGTCTAATTTACCTATTTTGATATATGATATTATATTAGTATAGATTGTAAATATTCTTTTAAATAAAAACAATAAATAAATATTATATTATAAAACGAAATATTTGTACATACAAAAATAGGTACATACCTTGAAGTTAATAATCACAATTATTCACCAAGTTTGTATATATTCGATTGAAAAACTAACAAATTAATTTTTTTTTAAACTAAGTAATAAATAAATTTTGTAACTTTAATGAACATACGAATAATTTATGTGGTATTATTATTTATTATACTTAATATACTAATAGACGATTTTTTTCTTATTTTATCCTTTTCTGTCTCTTTATTATCAAATTAAAATAATTTCTTTTCATTGACGTAATTGTTTAAAATTTTAATAACATTGAAACTTAATACGTTTAATTTTTTATTATAGTTCGATTTTATAGTTTTAAACATATCAAATATTTGAATACACTCATACAAAGCTTTGTTTGTTTTGATTATGTTATAAAACACATTTCGTTATCTAATTCAGTAAAAGTTTTCATTATTTAAATATTTAATACATAAAATAGGTAGGCACTATTGTATTACAAAAGTCTTCTTTCGTATATTAACTCAAGCGTTTCGACAAATATAAATAGTATTATGAATGATGATGAGAATAATGATTTCGAATTATTGTGTTAATACTTAATGTAACCTCAAAGCTTGCATACTTTATTGATTTTTTCTAACTTAAAATTATATATTTACTATAGTTATATGACGCTATTTAAACAACAAAAACGGATACAATACATGATGAATACATTACAAGATTTTAGGTATATAGGTTCCTAATTTCTTAGCTATGTTTTATTTATACAATATAAATTCGCAAAACAGTATTACGATTAATTGAATCAATAAAATACTGAACTATATCATACATGAATTTAAGTTTATTTTTAAATAAAAATACAATAGTAATTATATACATTTACGCAGCAATAATATCTATTCGAAGTTATTATAATTTATAAGCAATACGCTGTACGCTGCATTCCCCTTAGTCAGAAATTTTAATTTTGCGATATTGATAAAATTTGTATTTTTTAAAGTATAGTTTTAATATCTTTTTTTCTTAGTTATAAATACGTTTTAAATTAAACTATTGTGTACTCATACAGTTATATTATATTTGTAACGAGGGATATGAGTTTAATGTATTCACATGTTTTTTTTTTTTTTTTTTTTTATATCGTATATTCGTATAAAAAGATAGATTAAATAAAATATTACTATACATAAATCAAACACGAAATCTTATTTGCCTATTTCTACATATTTAACTGTTTTGGATAATAAACGTAGAGTTTTTTTATTTATTAATTATGTTAATGCTTAATTTTATCATTCATCTTATTTTTGATCAATAAAATTGTAAATGTATGAAACAATTCTTTATTTAATATAACGTTTTGACTGTTATGTGTTGACTCATTGAGTAAATAACGGTCTTAAATAAATCGTTATTGTTATTAAAAATAGAATTTTTTTTATGTTTTACCTGTCACAAGTGGATAAATACATACATATTTGAAATCTTTTTAGTGTATGCCGTTCACAATTCTGCTTATAATAATTGTATTTATTTAATGTTATTATAATGTTTTTTTTTTTTAATATTAATATGCAACAATTACCATTAGTTTTGAACTACATCATGACTTTAAAGTATAATATATGATAACTGGATGTATATAATATGGTCACGCTTATAACTATATTTAAGCTGATAATAATAAATTGCAAGTACACAATGCATAGTATACCTATAATTAATAAATATAATATAATATTTTAGACTACTGTTTCTCTGGTCATCATATTGTATATTATATTACAGCATATTACAGCAATATCTTAAAGTTTAAAGTTTATAGTGATTTATTGTTGTATTTTTAATAGGTGTTGTTTGTAAGATTTTTTACTCCCAAAGTGGCCTGGCAATCATTTGTATTGATTATTTCTGTTCCAATGTTCACAGCTGTATGACTTCTAGGTAACGACTGATCTTCATTGTTTGATGGCTAAGCAGAAAAAGAAAAAAATAATTTAAATTATCCATCTTACAATTAATTAAAGTCATTATTTTCAAGTGCATTATATTGTTACGTTTTGGTCATTGTTGACTGCAACTGATAATATTTCATCTGTGTAAAATTGATAGACGACGTATAATTCACAACTTTCTATTACTAAGTAAATCATTACAAAATGAAAGTTAATAATCCGTAGTTATATTATATTAGAATAGTCTTTGGTCGATCAATATGAAAATTATTATATCTTGTAGGTATACTTACAGACTCCAATTAATCCTATGAGGAAAATTCCAATTTTTCCAATTCTTAACGAAGCAAAAACTATAAACGCTACTGATGTGAGGAAATAAATGCTATTTAATACCATCCAAAAATTCAAATACATTAAATTGTGCTAGAAATATAAACATAAATTAATTATATTAATGACGTCTATACCCACATAATATTTTATTACAAATTAATTTAATACATAAATTAAAAGAAAAATACAAAAACTATATTATATCAAACTAGATATACTGACTTTACCTGTGCAACGTAAATATTAACATAATATATTCCTAGTACCTACATTATTAAAGTTTAATTTTAAGATTTTATACAAATTGAAAATACTCTGATTGATCCATAATATTATGTCATTTGTTTCATGTTTGGAACTCATTTAATATTTTGTTCATTTAAATTGTGATACTATAAAGGTTATTTAATATGTTCTTACGTCATAATATTATAATTTAACGTGTTTTAAATCGTGCACAACAATATGTAATAACATATTTTAATAAAACTGCCATGTAACTACTGTCAACAAATTCTAATTGAATTATATTATAATTTTTATTTGTAATATGCTTTTATAATATAATTGATATGAAATTTCTTGTTATTTTAACATAAAATATTTGGTACCTATACCTAATAATATAATGATGAAATCCTAATAATTTGATATCATAATAACATTTTTTATTACAGAATAAAATTGAGTCATGCACATAATTCAAGTGCTAAGTATTCACCTATTTTGCCTATCAATATTGAAACAAATCAATTAAATATTATCTTATTATCTATAATAACACTAGTAGCTATTATTGTAGATTTAATGGCATTGCTTAATGCGTAGATATAACTCACATAGTATTAGACACCAAATTTCAGTTTTATTTTGTCTATGATAATATATTTATCAATGGAATTTTAAATGCCATGAAATTATTTTAGAAATCGTAATAGTCAAATTAAATGGTTTTATTTTATTTTAAAAATTCGCATTTTTAACGAAAAGTAAAACATAATTTTTTTTTTTTTTTTATCAGTATTGCTCTTTCTTTACGTTTTATAAAAATATATATTAACAAACGCATATAATAATAATTTTTCTAAGAATATATTTTTATAATAAAAATAATTGTACACTAATTATTAAAAAAAGGTTTATGTTATATCAACTGCTCGTATCGGCCAGTAAATATACTGTCATAAACTTATTTAATTAAAAGTGTGATAGTATAAATGTATCAAATTTCTATTTTGTAGCCAAAATAACTCGCTTTAATTCATTGATTGAGTCAATAAACGACATTTAATACCTATAGAACTATATAATGCATTTAACACGTGTAAAACACGTTTTATTGGTTAAGTAATAATTATTTTTATGATTATATTTTAGGTTTTTAGCATGACAGTTAATAGTTTTAATACAGTTTGTGATATATAACTAATAAGATGTATTAAAATAGACTGAAAACTTCAATAGTTCCAAATCGTTTTAAGCTTCTATATACCTATAATTGTTATCCAAAAACGCAAATATTTTCTAAAACGCTTGTTAATGAAAAAATCGTTGGACAATTTTCTAAAAAGAATAAGATATCAACCTTTCAATAAACAGTTATAGGATGTGGAGCTATGGTGTATATCTTAAATGTTTGTTAAACACATTAGTCCCCGAAAATTTGAATCCATTTCCATTTATGTGGTCTATAGCTATATTACTAAAACAGCAATACGTAATACACAGATACCACTTACTATAAATGTTACCTAATATTAATCATATTATAGGCGTAAATCGCGTAAGTTTCCAAAGAAGTCATAAATATAAGGACTCGACAAATATATATTTCCTGCTTTTTAAAAATTTATTTTCATTAAACTTCAATAATACTTCTAATTTGTTATTAAATAGTTTTTTCGTACTAATTTACATTTTTTTTCTAAAAATATATATTTTTGAGAGAATTTAATAATTTCAGAAAACTAATTGCTTTTAAATTTTGAGAAGTTTTTATCACAACAGTTACACAAGTTATACGTATATTTTTTTTTATATAGAGACGAACGGAAAAAAAAACTATAATTATAAAATAATTATCGCCATTTGACAAAATAATGAAGAAACGACAAACGGCATGCGGTGTTACGTATAAGTTTGTTTTGTAAAACAGGTCCGTAGAGCAGACACCGTAGTTGCTTTGATGTAATTCGCGGTTGAGCAGGTACTAATTTCCAGAAAGCTGACTTTCTGAACGATTTAACATTACTGCACTATATCGTAGTATTATTATATTATGCGACGCGTTTGTTGAAAAAAAAAAAACGACGAAAAAACAAACTTTAATATTAATATACGTACGCACAAGGATTTTGTATGAGGGTTTTTATTTATAAATAAAAAGTTCCAATAAGATTACGTAGGAATATTAAAATGTTATATAGTTTAAAAATAATAAAAAACGATTTGACATTGATATTTATGATTTTTGTTATACTAAATTTAGCCGGTTGATGTTTGATTCATTTTAAAAATAACGTAAAATATTGTTTATATTGAAATCTATAACATGTTATAATATTAATCGTCTTCAGCTAAGTATACAAAAATACCTATTGTAGTTAATTTTTACAGATGCATTATCAACTGACATTATATTTTTGTGATTGGACATCGTTCCGTGATTTTAATTAAATAAATACAAAATAATTATTTCATAATTATTATTTTAAATATCTATGTATAAAATGTTTCTTCACTTACAGTATATGTGGCTTTTTTCAAATAGTGACTAGCGTACATAACTAGTATTGAATACGATAATTTTGAAAAGATCGAGTTATCGAAATCCAGTTCATTATAATATTCTGTAAACGTAAAATATAATAAGATGAATACTCATATATATAAAATATTAGGTAGGTATTAATATGTAATATGTATATATGTATGACTCCCTCTGCCGATAAACAACTTTAAAAATAAAGGCAAGAGAAAAAATATTAAATAATATTGTCAATTTAATATGTAAATATATTAATATATAATATTACTCATTGGTAATGAGGGTGGTGTTTGGTTGTCGGACGAACTCGTCTTTGCGCTTGTCGTACCCTCATCTATGTCCGACCATTGATAAAAATATTTTAACATCAATAGCACGGCAACAAACAATTGTGACCACTAGGGAATGATAAAAAACCAAATAAACAGATAAATAACTTGATGTAGTAAACGGTTTTTATGTTTATAAAATAATACGTTTTTATAAAAACTCTGTTAGAGGAGGTACATTAAAGGAACACACGATTACATGACGCCATGTTTTCTTTTTCTAATTATCATCTAAATTTACACTATTGTATACAGATTAAACCGATTTAGCAAGAATCTGAAGTTTAAAAATTATTAATTGAAAAAAATATCAAGAAATTTAAAACACACACGCAACGTCATGATTACGGAGCAATCACACATTTTGTACGTATGTAGTAAGGATGTATTAAAATAAAACTATTGATTTTTTTAAATTTATTTCGTGTATATTTTTGTATTTAAAATGATTGTGGAACAAAAAATTCATTATGTGAGTTTATTTTTTAACATCTAAAATACTATAATACTGTATAAGAATTACATGGACACGTGTTAAGTAAAAGTTTATTTTAACAATTACCTATTTTTAAAGTTGTCTAAGTTTTGAAATAAAAATAAAAATTGTACTTAATCGTGTAGTTCTATATTGTCTACAACACAAAAAAATACATGAGAAAGTAAGATAGTATAATAATAAAAAAATATAGGTTTCTAAGTAAATATCACGCGATTATATTGATTTCTAAGTCATAACTAACGGAATAATTCAAGAAGAAATGTTACACTTATATTTTTCATAAAATTGAACATACTTTTAAAATAATTACAGCTTATTTTTGTGTGTCTTGTACTCTTAGAAAATACTCAAAGAACATAAAATATTGGTGTCTATGTATAATACGATTCAGATTATGCAATTGATTTATTGATCTGGTAGTGATTGAATATACCCAATATTATATAATTATACTACATAATCATAATAAAAAAAAAAAATCGGAAAAGCAGGTAACCGCTTTGTGCATATAGTAAGTGTCAAGTATAATATGAACCAAATGTGAACATAATATGAACTAATAAGGAAAATTTAATTAAATTTCCAATCTTTAGTTAAAAAAATTGAATATTTTATAAATATATAAAATGTTTATTAGAAAATAATTAGCACATTTTCTCAATTTTGAGAAATTTGATGAAAAATTAAACTTAAAATTTTTATAAAAAATATCATGCATATTTTATATTTGTGAAAATACTTTATGAAGGAGTAATGTTTTAAAGATTGTTTTATCAAACAAATAAGTTGTTTATTTAAAAAAATAAAAAATAAAATAAATTGTAAAAATTGTAAACTGCAAAAGTACGGTAATTAGTTTAGTCTCGACGTTGAAAATCAAAGCATTTTTAATATTTCAAAAAGCGTTTTAAAAACACACACACACATACTCGTACAAAGTAAATCAGTGTAAAATAATATAGCAGTCTGCTAGTAACTCGTGATAATCATATAATTATACTCACAAATTGTAAATAAGCCACGATGCGTGCGCCTATACGGACGGTCGTCAGTCCGAAGAAACACGGGGTTTCGGTCATCCCGCTGGTGGTATACTCTTAGTATTATTGTATATGAACAATATTATGATACAATTCAAATAATAACAATACAGTTATTGCTGTGTAGGAGAGACCAGAGTTTAGATGACGGAACGGTACACGGGTTTCTGGATAAAATAATATTATTATCTACTCATTTGGTTCACAATCAATTGTGAATAGTAAGTTTCAAACTGAAAAACAATAACTTTACTGCAGACGATATTATTCTGCACTTGATTATAATGAAGAACTCACTTTGTCTATTATGTCGTCATCCGTGCGTATATCTACCTACATTATATTATGAATCGAGTGTGAACAAACAATCTCATCAACGAGCCGTTTATGTTGTAGTCGCGTATTATAGATATTATGCATATGAGCATATACAGTGTGTAGCACAGTGTTTCAAAGTTTAACCACTTAAATTTGTAACGAATCTGATATGCGATGTAAGAAAAAAATACATCGTTACGGTTAGGTATACTATGCTATGAATGTTATGAGATATATTATGAGTATAAGGTTTAATTGTGGTTTGTAATTTGTTGGATTTTTTTATATTAATTGGATTTAAGTTTAAATTCATGTTATGCCGTAAAGTAAAATATTTCAAAAAATATATGATATTACCCTAGGTTTCTTTTTTTTTTTTTTGTTATGGTCACCAAATTGCACATTTTATATCTTACCGAGTCGAGTGCTTATAGGCTAGGTACCTGTTATAATAGACACCAATCTAATTGTTTTTCGGTAAATTAGAAACTTTGAAAATATCCTAAAACTGCGTAAACGTCGCAATTTTTTTGGAAGTCTGCAACAAGATCATTTAAAAATAATACTGCATAATACTTTTTATCATAACTAAAAATATTTGTGTATCACGGTTCATTAATTTATTGAACGCATACTCAGTTTCCGCACTCAAATGGTAATTCGTTCAAATGGTTTTTACCACGCGAGTAAATAACACTGTTTTAGGATAGGAAATCGATGCTACGTATATTTATCAAAAGATGTTCTGAATACAATTAAAAGAAGTTTTGCACAAACGACACTACACTACGGCTATTGTAACACTACTGCTTAGTCGCCTAACAACGACCGAGGTTTGGTCTTAGCCAAAAAGGCTTGCTTCAGCAAATTCCTTATTATCTGATCCACTAGCTAAGTAACCATTTCTTAGAATTATTATACGTAACGAAAAACAACTAAAACTATATTTCTATATGGCATGGGTTCTTAAAAAAATCACGATAAATGAATCACTCTGTATATAGATAAATAATGTTTATGTGGGTGTGTACGCGCGCATTAGAGACCAACAATAGTGACTATAATATTTATCCATGGTATATAATACTATCGTAATGACATTAAAACAATAAAATATAAGGAATTATAATATTATCTTTGCGTGGTGTTTTGCTGTCTGCGTCGAAAATCACGAGACGCGTTATATTTATACATATATATATATGTGTGTGTATGTGTGTCTGTGTTTTAAGGCGTATGATTACCTAATACAGTCTAACTTGGTTAACTCGAAGTTGAAGGGACCAGAAAAAAGTTCGAGTTATCCAAATTAAAAATTTTTGAAATAGCACAAAATATACAGTGAAACCTCGATAACTCGAATCGGTTGGAGGCGAAAAAAAAAATTCGAGTTATCGAAAATTCGACTTATAGAAGTTCGAGTTATCGAGGTTCCACTGTATTAATTCCTATGTATTTATACATGAATTATGTATATGTAATAATAAAAATTTATGTATGTATAAACAAAAATGAGGTTAAAAAATTATTTAAAAAAGGTATTTATTTTTGTTTTGAGTTTTGCTGTTGATCGTAGCGTTTGTAGTGAATCGTTCTAAACTACTTATCGGTAATGATTATACTAATGAGTAATGACCTTATTTTCGTTATTAAAATATATGTATAGTTATATGAGGGAAATATGACCATTTAATAATATTAATAAAACTCAAAACTTCAAGTTATCCACGAAAATATTCGAGTTAAACAAGATTTTTTCACATTGTTTAAATAGAAAATTCTAGGAACCGGAGAAAGTTCGAGGTATCGACGATTTCGAAGTTTGAGATAACCAAGTTCAAATGTAGCAAGTGTTGACACGCTCAATAGTTATTTAGTGAAAATCATACAATTATAATAAGCTACTTTGATATTTTAAAATTTTAAATATATAACACCGTCGCGATAGATTTAGTTTTTAATATGTACTGTAATAAAGATAATATTATATCCAGCAGTGAAATGTTACAAAATCGGATTGCCGAATACTTATCGAGTTTAATGTTATCCTTTGTTATAACACTAACAATAGCTGAACATACTTCTTAAACACAGATTAAAAGTTCCAAAATATTGTGTTATAGTTATAACGTCCCAACAGTCAACACTAGTGAAAATATCTTATAGTATACACCACGCTTCAAGACACCTAAACGTATTGTGAATGTGTATAATATTATTGTGTCGAACAATGTCAATTTTAACGATTAATCGGTCCTATTAAAATTATAACACTGCGATTGTTAGCGTCACACTACCGTTCCATTAACTGATAACAATTATTACTAATTAATATAGTATATTAACAGTTTATAATATGTTGATCTCATGCAATATAATACGACGAAAACACTGCAGTCTTAATTTTTATATTCACTGTAACTGACACGTATATTATTATAATACTAGATGTAAGTATGTTGTGAAAAGTATTCTATTCATATAGAAACGATTTTTTAAGTACGAGAGGAGCAAATATTCAGTGCCCTATCTTCAAACGATACGATGGTCGAGGATATATAAAAAAAAAGTTTATGTAAAACAACATTTGTTATGAATATGAATCGATGACCGATGTATACTTAATACATGGCACCTACAGTTCAGGCATCTGAGGTATTATTGTGATGATATATACAATATTAATACATATGCAATACATTCACACACACCAATATCGTTTTGAATTATTTTTTTTTTATGGCAATATAATAAATGATTGAAATGTTATGAAATTTTAAATCCATGAAATATTTCAATATTTTAATTAAATATTTATTTTATTTCTTTTTTAAATAAAATTTATTTTTACATGCATTTATCATTGATGATTGTTTTATTCACTAATAAAAAAATATTTAAAATTTTAGATACTGAGCGGAGCGATGAACCTATATTAATTTTACAATTATGTGTTGTTGTTTTTTTTTTTTATTATTATTCCAATTATCATCACCTTTGAGATAGTTAGAATACTTCAGTTTTCAACTTTAAAGGTAGTTTTAGTAGAAAATCAAAACCTAACCTAGATAAAAGAAAAAAATTTACTGTACTTTTCAGAGTAATTTTTTTTTATGCTAAACCACTTGTTGAAAGTATTGTTTTCTTTATTTTGTCATAAATAAAAAAATGAATAATCATAGAAATTTGAAATATTCACCAAATATTAATATTATTATTTTTTGTATAATGTACAACCTTAAAAATATTTTGACTTTACAAATTTTTTTTTTTTATTATCTTTTTTTATAAATTCCGATAACATATTTATAAAAAGGTAATAAAGCTTAAAAATGTAATCCCAGGAATTTTGACAAAATCTCGAAAATTACAAATTATTTTGTTGTTAAAAATTCATAGAAACATTTTTGTTTAACCTAAAATTTACTGATAATCCTTTCGAAATCTATTATACAGTAGAACGGTATCCTCTTGTTCACATTTTTTATGCTGACAAAAGTGTATACAAATATTTATATTACATTATCATAAAGAAATATATCGAATGCTTAATATATAATAATGAAATTATATATCATTATATTATACTTATATAGTCAAATACAGCAATAATTATATATATCGATCACAGCACTCGATGAATCAATATTATTTAAAAAAAACAATGTTTTGAATTACATTTTTATGAAATATTTCTGACTTAAAATAGTAAATATAATAAATAAAAACCATATAGACTTAATATATTTAATAAATATATTATGCGATAACGGGGCATTACAATAATATAATATAGTAATTACGAAAGTAAAAAGCCACTGAATTTGGAGTACTTATCTTTAAATTAAAAGGTTACAGAAAATTAATTAAAAATATCACGTACTACTTTTTTTTTTAAATCTGCGATAAAGATTTCTAGGAAACGCGTGGGTATGTAAGTAATTTTATGATTGTGTTGTGGTAGTTTTATGGTCTAGAAATAAAACCTTTTTGTGAAATAGTGCAATTCTATCCTCAATCAATTTAATGCCAAAGTTTTTGTAAAGAGACAAAGGGTGGAGATTTTGTGATTTTGTCGAGTGCAATGTCCTGAAATACTCGTACTTTAATTTTATTTAAGTTCGATTTTTTAGCCGACTTCCATTATAGCTGTAACTAGTGTACTTATATTGGTTTTATGTGTTTACAAGTTTTATTTTTGCTAGTATTTTTTTAAGTATTCTAAAACGAGCGTCAAAAATAAACCTTTGTGATTTAATATAATATTCCATTGCAATTATCTTATTAAGATTAAGACTTAAATATATAACCATGTATAATAAATAAATTGTGGTAAAAAATAACGATGTACTTTGTTACTGAAAAATATTTTATATTAACCAAAGTTCTATTTATAACTGTCCACAGATAAATTTTATTTATTATTATTATTATTTTTTTTTTTTTTATGTATCTTACCAAGGTAGGTGTTAAGTAATAACTTAATGTAACTTTTCTATTTTTCAGTCAAGGGTCTTTGAATATTCCAAAATCACGAAAGTTCAAAGCTGTTTTATTTCTGGAAATTAATTCAGAAATCATTTAAAAATTAATAAACAAAAACATACTAGAGACCCAAGTATCATATTGTATTTTTACTGTTCGTTTAAAAAATATTACAGATAGTATTGCATAAATAAATAAAAATTTAATTCAGTATATACCATTCATAGTAAGTATTCAGTTATATTTTTTAAACATTTTTGATGAATATCAATAAAAATTTTATTATCACTTTATGTCACCCGAGTGTGTTCAAAATAAAGAAGACCACAAATATTTGATAATTTGACGATGGCGCACGAAATTCTATATTTTTTTCAGTCTTAAGCTGTCCTGATATTTATTACCAGCTATTCAAAAAATTAATTTAATATTTTTACGCTAAAATAAAATATTTTTAAAAATAATATACATTTTTATGTTATTTAAACAGCCAAAGTTCTTGGGTGCATTCATAGATAGTATACAAAATTCAGCGCAAGATAATAATATATTGTTTTGAGCTATGTAAAAATATGTTAAATATAAGATGATCATCGTTTGTATTTTTTTTTTTTATTATTATTATTTCAACTCTAACGATAGTGATGTTTTTTAAAAAAAATGTTTTTACACAAGATAATTTTCAATATTGAGATTTTTTTTTAAATTTTTTCACTAAAAGAAACTTATATTTTTATTTCATTTAAATTTCAAAGTTTTTTTCTAAGTTTCTGTATACAAAACACCCAAAAATGTATTTTAGCAGGCCTCCGTCATAAAAAAATTAAATATATGAATACAAATATAATTCGATATCAGGAATATTATAATATATTATATAGTATAATATTAAAAGTATATCTAATTTATAAAATAAAACCTTGAAGAATAATATGTCAAATATGTGGTTATCCAAAATCTATCAAAAATATTTTCATGAAATTTAGGGACATACAAGAAGCCAGGCAAAAATATCTCATACCTTAAAAACATTCATGACTTATTTGATCTTGAAGAAAATAATATATAAAAGTGACACTATTCACCAAACACATTAACTTGTACAAAATATTTAAATTTAATTTAATTATATGGTTACAAAAATTAATTTGAAAAAAATGTTACAATTTAAAAAACATGAACGACTAGATCATTAATAAAGTTCAGCTATAAAGATTATAACATGAAAAATAAAAATGAAACATAATAAAAAGTTTGATTTTTTTTTAAGGATATACCATTTTTATGAATTATAAAAATTAAAAATGTAGTATAATATAATATAATGTAAAAATGTATATTTTTTAAAATCATTTAACATTTATCACAAAGTGAAATTTAGTCTTTACAAAGTTGTGTCATTTGTTATGTAAGTTAAAATAGGAGCGTTTGAAGAAAATTAATTATTAATTTGTTTGGAATATTAGTAGAAGTAATAACAAACTAATAAATAATACTATTATTAATTACTAATTCGAATATTTTAATACGGCGCTTAGTGTATTCAATTTCAATACAGCACATCGCACAGTTTCGTGCATATTATTTAAACTTTAATATTAAATGTATTGATGTACTTTTAAATAGTTCTTGATGAAAAAATGTAATATACATGATTTTGAATAATATATTATATAGTAATGGATTAATTTTCAACTTAAAAATACTATGCTAGGGAAATAACAGGTTGATATAATGAAACCAATCGTTACGAATGGATTTCAAACAAATAAATTGTTAACAGCTGTTGTAGATATATTTTTATAGTTTGTAGTTTATTATTATCGGACAAGGAATAAAATACTACAAACTACTAATTTAAATAATATATTTTAATGTTTACTAGTTTAGATTAAGTGCCTATGATGTGTGCGTGTACTGGTCTTAGTCACATGTACTTCATATTATTATCACTTACCGCTACAATCGTCCATTGCCATAAACACATTCAAACGACACGCATTTAGGTAGTTTGCGTTTGGGTGATTTTATCATATTGTAGAGTGGCTACAATGCATTTGAATAGTTTAGTATAATTGTATAACGCGTTCGAGTGAACGGTTTTACAACATTGTGATTTATCTGAGAAATGTTTTATCGATGCGTTTTCTCTTTCATCATAGCAGATTTTTGAAAGTTTTAATTTCAAAAGTAGATAATTAAAAATGCATTTTTATTTTTTTATTAAAAAATACATGTCATAAAATACTTTATCATAATTTTTTTTACTATCTTACCTTTAAATTTCAATGTATAATACGCTATTTATATACATGAATATTAATAATAATAGACACGAGTAATACCCTCAATACGAATCTTCCGATATAGCTTCATAAACTAGAGATAAAAAAATATAAAAAGGTTTAAATTCTATTTTTAAAGCAATAATGGTCATTTCAAATAGAATTCGGTAAGTCATTTTAATAAAAGATGCATAGTTTTTAGTAATATTGATGATTTTAACTAATGGTGCGAGGGTTGCAAACACGTTTTTTATTTGGAATTATATATAGATATTAATTTATTAGGATTCACTAGACTAATTGATACTTTTTCCATCTAAAAATTCCATCTAAAAAGTGAGCTTACAAGATCGGAAGATTTCAAAGTACATTATAATGAATATTTTTGAATATATCTTATTTCATTTTATATTTACTTGTTACAAAATATGAGACTTACAGACTACAGTATTAAATCGTTATCAAAATTGACGATGGTAAATAAATCTATTTTATATTATGTATTATTAAAACCATTTATACATCGGAACTTTATTTTAATATTATTATTTTTATTATGTTGATAACCGTGTATAAGGTATTATTTACAGCTATTGATTCACTATGTAGAAAAGTGGTTGAAAATTAGATTTTTTTGTCGATTCCTTTTCAACTTTTACGGTGTAATTTTTTGGCGATAACTGGTCTTCGTCTGCAGACTGTGTTTAAAAAAAAAAGGGCAAAATATTGTTAGTTCTATAATTTTTCATGTCTGACATGAAAAAGTTTACGGTGTACGGCCTACTTACTTGTGGTGAATCAGATAACAACGGTGGACCTTGTTCCAAAATAATGCACGACGATTTTTCGTCTTTGTAAATCTGATGAACGATGTCTATCTTGTAATTGGCAAATACTAAACACGACAATTACAAGTGATGATGTTATATTACACAAATATCTTATATTTATAGTCCTAATTAACCCTATCTTATTTGCATAAGAAATATGTTATACTTAAATACTTACTTATTATGGTTATTAATTTTATGTATATTACAATACTATTGACTTTGGACAAAACGAATAAAAAACACGTTACCGCCGACAAAAGGTAAATGTTGTTGACTATTAACCATATCCTAACGTCTTGTACGTTACTATACTGAAAAATACATGAAAAAATCAACGTTCATATAGTGCAATTGTAATGTTGAGTCCGAATAATTATTTTATTAAAAAAAAAAAACACAATTTTTGATTGAAATATTTTATGATAATAATTGCGCCATCAGTGGAAAAACAAAATGTCAATTCGATTAAAATTTGTTATGTGGCTTATCTCGAACTATATTGTATTCAAATTATATAAAGATTACGTGATAACGAAAATTTTGTTTTTCTCATGTAGAATCGAATCAAATTAATTAGAACTGTTAATTCAAATAAATCATTAACTATTAAATGGCAATTATAAAATATTAACTAGATATACAATATACAGTGCTATACATAGATATTATATATTTAGCAAATTGATGTAGATTGTTAAATTGAGATTTTTGTTATATGATTGTGCAGTAGGTACGTACTATATAGTGACAGCTGACTACTGGCACTAATGCACTATAATACACTAAAGATCGTTCTACACAAGTAAGACTGTACTCTCCAAGTATTATTTATACTTTATACAAAACGATAAAAATCTGAGAAGTGTAAAAACATATTAGAAATAAAACGAAAAAGATTATACAATGTGATTCACAAAGCATGCAAACTGCCATTTTTCATTTAATAATACATTTATTCAAATTTTGATTTTTGGAACACATACATACTACACTTAAATACTATATTTCCTAATTTTTGAAACTTTTATACTATTTAAACAGATCCTGTGATAATACAAACTCTTTTTAAATGAAAACCCCATTTTTTTTTTATATATTGTATAACGGATAATTTTTTTGAAAATTTTGATTTACCTAATCTAAAATTCAAACGAATAATTTCTCAGTTCTTAGAAATTTCATTGGAAAATAAAACATTATATGGTATAAAATGTATTTGTAAGCTCGGCCGATAAGTAGATTTTTTTCAATCCAGCAAGTATATTATTGTTGTTCTGCACAATGCAGATAGTAAAATAGTTTCAGTTATAGGAATATAATACGTATATTATGTAAACTCGGTAACGATCCTTTTTTTATGGCCAAAATAATAATATAAAATACACTATATTGCAGTGTAGTTATCTCTAATCGCCTAACCACTCTAAGTACTTAGGTATACTTAAATATAGATATTGGATATACGTTAAGAGTTATTTTTTTAAATTTATTTTTCCCTAGCTAATATACGTTGATAGGCTTTGATATAGATTTAGTAAATTATTCAATTTTTAAACAAAAATCTACAGCAATTGATTAAATATTTTAAAACAGGTAGCGAAAATTCATAATAGTGAACACGGAGTAAAAACTGGTACTAAAATTAAAATTTATCTGACATAAATAGACATAATATATGTACATACTATCGAAAAAATCTGTTCCACATTATTAATTTTTTATGCATTTAAATAAATAACTTAAAAATGTATTTTAAAAATAAGGAATATACCTACGATCGGGTTGCTAGCCAAAAGATCAATTGTGAAAAACAAAAAACTTCAGATACTAAAAAAAAAAAAATGATTTTTTAAATAGTCCATTAAATATATAATACACAAATACCCATTTTTTTATCATATTAATATGTACGTACTTATAATAAATAATAAATATATTACAGTACACTCAGTACAATATAATAATAATAATTAACATTTTATAAATTAAAAATAATAAATAATACCGATTTTAATTTGTATAGTCATATGTATTACTAATTTCTTGTTTGCATTTAATAGTTTTTCCGAAAAGTTGACATTTTATAATTCCTCACAAATGTGTGTTATGTAGAAATTTTTTCAATAGTTGATAACTTTCTAAAATGAATATTTATATATTTCCCATAATTGTCCATTATATAGAAGTTTCACTGTAGTATATAATATATACGCGTTACCTATTTCAAGGTACAGATATATTATGTTAAGTCTTGCTATAGTTTTGGGATACCACTGCTACATTGGAGTAATTATGATTTTGTTCTGGGGGGCATATATATAATTTATTGGATAAAAATAAAGTGAAGGGCTTACAGACATGCCCTCATAGTCTTATATTGCATATAATCCGTGATTATAACATAATAATGCATTTAACATCAAAAAAAAAAAAGTTTGGGGGATATATCCCTATCATCCCCCCTCCCACCAAACTACGCCACTGCATCACAGTATACACACTCGGCAATGATAATCAAAATATACCTTATTACAATTGTGAATATTGTTGCCGAATTACTTTAATTTGCGAGGTGGGTATATACTGAAAACTCAACCCAGCTACAGGTATACAACATACAATGATATTTTAATATTATATTAATCAATATTATATAAAACTACTCTGTTTTATAATAATATATATGATATCATTTTCAGTATTAATTATACACATCAATTTATAATAACAAATAGAATTATTCACACCCAATACCTATAACGAAAGTATAATGTATAAAAATATATATCTAACTTGATTTCTAAAATACGTCATAATACTGAACAATTTATATCACGCCAGTATCGTAACATTTTACAAATTCTATATACTGCGTTGATATTGTCACAATTCACAGATGTCGGAAACCTTAGCGTCATACAATATACCAATAAGAATATATATATGTGAGCAATGAATACAGTGTACAATTATATGTGTTGGTGCTTACTCGGATTGTGGCATTTCGTAAATGATAACTCGCATAAATCGACAGTATGACGTCACATATTTGGAATAACAGCGAAGTATTGAAGTAAAACTGTTCGTAACCTGTGAAAAACACATATTAATATATTAACAATATACGTACACGCATTTAGAATTCAGACATTATGCGCCAATCCGAAATTTCTGTCTGTCAAGTTATTTATTAACACACATAATACTAAATAATAAAATGATTTACGGACTATTATAATTTATAAACGTAGCGTTGATATTTATGTACACATCGTATAAACAGTATTGTATTATTGTAATAGTAAATTCCTTAAGACTGGAGTATATACATACCTAACCATCATTATTCATTAAGTATTTGTTATAATAGCAAAATCGTACAGATACTATGCTGCGTACAATCCCTACAATCATAAACCAACAATCTGAATGTTATTTGATGAAAAAAAATAAATATATTTAGTTTCCCCGTATACATACTCCACAACAATATTACCTACCTATACACCGCTGTTACTGATTGATTTCTCAAAATATCATTATTTTTAAGATTTGAGAAATTTAATTTTCAATCCGTGGTTAAAAATACACCTCTATAATATTCTTATAGGTACATATATTTCAAATTTATAAATGTATTGTGGAAATAGAAATAAATCAAATTAAAATACGCATACACATAATTAGTATTATATTTCCTTTGAATGAATTTATTTTCAGTCTATGTTTTTAAAACGCAATGATAAAAAAATTATAATATTGCACCTAATATTTAGTGTATCTCATTTAGTGGCACTATAAATTTAAGGAGGTGAAATTATCACTCATAATTTAATCTTTTAATAATTATCAAATAGTTACACCACCATAATTTTATTTTAATCATTCTTCAAATAATTATGATATGGCAGGTTTCATATAATCGTTAATATATCAGTGATAAATAATAATAATATAAAATAGAAAAATTATTTGAATGATTTTTTTTTAACTCAATTCTATTTTTTAAATAATTTATGAATACAGAATATCTGTTAATGTACTGCAGGATATACAGCATTCATGTAATTATGCACAAGTCTACATAATATATATATATATATATATGGAATTTACAGATAAAATTACTCGTAAAATTTTCATAAATGTACGTTCAAATCGGTAAATTTTATTATATAAACCATTTTATTTTTATATACATGATTTTACTTACCTAACCTATTTCTTAAATTGTTTATGCCGATATAAGTTAATAGATATAATTTATAATTTGCATCATTAATGATAACGATATCTAAAAAGTCTTAGAGACTATCGAAATATTGAATTAGTAGGTATAAGTATCTACATTACAGTTATTACAATTATAAAAACTTGAAAATGGAAAGTTATTCGCTTAACAGCAGTAAGTACCTAATTAAAAAAAAAAAAAACGGTGAATTAAATGGTAAATTTACTGAGCTAATACTACTCTATTTAATTTAACAACACGGTTATACAATGTTTACTGAACGTATGTACTTATCCATTATGAATATTTTGGTTTTGTTGAAACAATTATTATTTATTAAAATCGCACCCAATACACGTCATAAAAATTTTCTGGAGTCCAAAAAAAAAGTTTTAAACTAAAACTAATGACAATAATAATATATTTTACGACTACAAATTATATTACATAATCAAATATATCTGAATACATGATAAGAATAACAGACGTGGGGATTTTCAATTACTCACCGTCCCATCGATGATTTGATAATATCTTGACATTCTTTTCGACGTACCACCCTAATAAGTAGCTGCCGACCAACAGTAAAATTGAAAATGATTGAAACCACTAAAATCAAAACGAACATACAAATAACGAATCAGCTAACCAATCAAATGTTGAGTCAAAATAAGGGTTAGATGTCCGAGGGTTAGTCGCTTTAGAAAAATAAAATATTCTTTCTTAAATCTAAAAAATAAGCTATTATTTTTTTTTTAATTAAATAATTAAAATATATTTCATTATTATTTATACAAACCATTTAATGCACAACATTTTAAATTCGAATTTTGTAATATAATTTGTGTTAACGATGCAAACAAACGACAAAAAAAAAATAAAGTCGTTTATTATATTTGCATAATTATAGTAAGTTTTATATTATCATGTATGTGTATCTGTTATTTATTTTAAGTACTATCACGTACAAAATAAAAATACATCTATCAAGTAAAAGGTATTATTACATAAATATCATAATTACATTGTTTTTCTGTTCTCATTATTATGATATATACTATTTGATTGTACCATTGTATTCTATTATATTTATATTATACAATATGTCAATACTAAATAATGATTATAATTATTATTAAAATAATAATCTCATTTTACATTAATATATGTTTCAGCCTGCAGTTAAAAATTAAAAATACAATTAGTTTAATTCAATATTATACTTATTTGATATTAAAAATTATGCTGTTATCAAAAAAAAAAAAAAACAAAAACAACTAATAAATAAAAATAAGAAGAACATTTAAGAAGTAATTATTAACTTGTTTATTAGTTTTTTTAATACAACGTATACTATTACATCATTTATTTAAAATGGTTATTGTTTATGAATAAATGTATAATATTACCTATATTGAAATAAATACGTATTTGTCTTCTGTAAGAATACAAAAAATTTAAAAAAAAAAAATGAAAAATGGCAACTAATATTGACGTTTTCCTAAAAAATATACCGTTTCTATGCTGATGATGAAACGTCTTGGCGATTATTGTGTTATTCCTGTCCTGCAATCGAAGGCAACTGCTTAACATTTACTCATAGCATAAACTCACCAACTGCAAAGCCGTCAACGTGTACAGGGTTCTACGAGGGTCCGAGTTCGCCACCCTGAACGACGAGATTTCAAATGCGGGAAAGTCTGACCATTGTTTTTTGAAATATTTTAAATTTACAATCATTTGTACAAAATTACTTTTTGTCTGAGACTTGCGGTACGTCCAGTTTTCAATGGAAGCGTTCGTTGCGGTAGACGTGCACGCGGTCGGCACGACGTTACGTAAAATGACTGCAGCGAACGCGACCTAACGATATATGATACTTTATTTATATATATCTTATTATTATGAATATGGGCAAGAGTTGCGCGCTAACGAAATCGAAATAATATTATCTGTAAACTGAAATATGCAAGTAAACCTTCGATAGTCGTTTTTATGCACGTACATTAAGCGTACGGTTTGATATGGATAATAATATAATAAATTATTATGAATTGCTGATAATGGAAAAAGGAGAAATAAAAAACAGGTGACGACTGAAGAAACTGTAGGAGCATATTACCAACGTTTTTATATATATTCACAGAATGATTCACCATCATCAATTATGCTCACCGTCTTTTTTCTTTTCAATAATACAGTTATTCAAAATTTGACTTTTGGAATTTTTTACTTAAACACTTTATTGGTGTACATTTAATTTGATTTCTTAGAGTATATTTAAAATTTCTTAGTATCAAACGTTTAGTAAATTTATTATTTATTGATAAAAATTGCAAGTCTGGTGAATTATCGTGTGAAATCATTCGAATTTTTAAATTCAAATTTAGCGATTATATATTATAATCATATCGTAATATAGTTATGTAAAGTATTATTATTTGTGGATTAATTTACACTCTACAGATCTCGCTAAAGTTTTTTCATAGACATTATTGCACTGTAAATTTAAAATAATAGCAGTACGACAATTACCTTCAAAAATATTAAAGAACATCTAACGTCCTTTACATGACTATAATAATATAGATATAAAAAAAAACATTTAATTGTTATGAATTTGTGTTTCAAAATATATATATACACTGTTTAGTTATACCTACCATAATATATTATTTTATATTATTTTGATACTGAATAGATAAAATTATTTCTACTTATAACGAATTTAAAATATATTTATTCACGATTAATATATTATGATATAATAAATGTTGATGATCATAAAATTAAAATTAAAAATATGTATATTTTTATTTTAAGCCAAAATCGAAATTTTTATTATTTTATTTTACGATTTTTCAAGCATATTATATGATAAATGGCTCAAAATATTGTTAGCAAAAAATAATAATAAGTTATACATAATATATTATTTTGAAATTTTCTAATGTTTACTTTATTTCAAACAGTACTTTCTGTTAATGTTTACATATGTTACATATAGATCAAGTATTTTCAACTTTATTAAAATTTGAATTAAATGAGAATTATCATAAAAAAATATATGGATATTATTATCAGAAAAATAAATTTTGGGGAATTCAATAGATAATATTTATTTAAAATCAGAATGAAATGGAATGAATGTAGGTAATTATTTAATTAATAATTCGTTATAAGATATTCTAGAAATTTAAAAATATTTTAAATCATTAAATATTGATACACCGTGTATGAATGTATATTTTTAACTTTTAAGGAAAACCATTTTATCACTAAGATTATTTTTTTTAGGCATAATATAAGCTATATTTTGTTTATAAATACATTCAGAATGTTGCAAAAAAATAATACATTAATGGCTGAATAGTATACAAAAAATTTTAAATTAATGTAAAATACCTATACGATGGTAAAAATATTTAATATCTATTTTATTTTTATAATTTTTCTAGAAAACAAGAAAAAAATAATCATGAGTCTCTACACGGAACAATTTAGTGGGTCTTATTATCTTTTTAAAAGATTAATTAAAAATTAAAAAAAAAAAAAAAATGTAAAACAATAGATTATTGAATGTTGCATAAATATCAATGTTATAAATTTATCTCCGTTCAAAAATGAAAAAAATATTTAGTGCAAAACAATTTCCTTGAACCAAAAATAAATATTAATAATGAACGTATACTACATAATACATTATAATTACGCGAGGCGTTAAAGTCCATTAAAAATTATTATTAATCGGATAATCAGTAACTGAAAACCCGCGATACACATTCGTATATAATCGAATTAGAAATTGCAAATGTTTTGATAAGTACCTAATACATTATAATAGGTGTACAATTTACATATTCTTAACTTCAAAACAACAAGCTTACATTAAAAATAGTTTAATTAATAATTTAACTGTAAATACATATGAAAAATATTGTCATATTTAAAAACTATCCATATTTATAAATATATTATATAATAAACCCACAGTATAGGAATATAGAATTGACCAATTCAAAATATACACACTATATAAACACGTTATTCGATGTGACTGATAATCATATTCCACGGTTAATTATATGGATAATTAAATTAATATTTCTTGTAACCATAGTTAATTTTAAATACATCTTAATTCTTTTTTAACGCAATAACGAACGTTTGATGATAATTAGTGGCTGGTGTAGACATAATTATTCGAAGGGTAATTTCAATGTATGAAGAGTAGACTTTTTATAGGTACATCCATAAATTCCTGCAGTAATAAGAGCAGTGACGCGATTTTTTTTATTAAAATATGTCATTTGAAAACAAAACAAAAATGAAAAAGTTTGTTTATAAAATCATTTTTTTTTTTCATAGTCTGTTTTGTTGATACGAAATAGTTCATTTACTTTAACTTAAATCTTTTAAGTTAAAATCTATGTGGTAATGTATATAAAGGCCTATAGAATATTTAATATACTTTTCGCTTACTTTTATATTATTGCGATAGGGACAACGCAAATTTATTATATTATAGTTTGTATCTAAATTATTATTTTATAAAATATATTGTAAATTAGTATTTACATATATCCCACTATTCATATAACATTTAAGATAGATGATTCATGGGTATTTTATTTAGATGAGATAACGTGTTTAAAATATTTATTTATAATCTATATTATAATAGATGACCAAATTCATTTAAATAAAAATAATTATTTTAAAAATTGAATATTTTGTAAAATAGCATTTTTTACCATGAATATAATAAATAATATAGTACCCATACAAAATGTTAAATGTTTATACTTTTAAATATGTGTTTTACTGAGAATAAACTATATAAAAAACTTCAAAATAACATCATGAATATAAAACAGAATAAATAAGTTATAGGTAATAGTTTTAAAAATTAACACTTCTACACAAAAAGTAAAATAGAATATAATGTTGCAAAATTTGCGAAGCGTCAAGTTGCAAGCTTCAGTGGAATACAAAACTAATAAATCAGAAGAGTATACGAGCATCCTTATGGACAACAATCATATTTTTAGTCTAAATTAATTCTACTCCAAACTAAATTGAAAATATTATTATTTGTATTTGAATACGTATAATATATAACTAAATAAATAAGATATATCGGTGCTCTACGTAAGAATGAAAGAAAAAGATCAATTTGTATAAGCAATAAACCCAATGACAATGAATGATAAACTAACGATTAAATTTAATATCGTTAAGTCTTATGTTATTTCGCAATGGGATTTTCGTTGATTAATAATTGAAAAGTTTTTAGAAAGTCAAAAAATCTGTCACTCACGATTTTTATTCTAATTTTATTGTGATGCGTAAATCATTTTGCGAAACTATTCACGTGTTTATCGTTTTTTATTTATTAATATACCCCTAAGCATTATATTATAAAAGCGTTTTTATTGCGATTTGCAACACAATATAATTAGGTACAAACGAATATTCTCTATTGTACCATGCACGTGTGCATGTTTTTTCAAACACGCTCCGTTTGACGTTAATAAACTATTTTATAACATTTTTCTAAGGACAGTTTATTTAACATGTTTATGCTAATTTGTGAGTCGTAAAATCACATCTCTACAAAGCCCGCACTTGTATTTTTCTCTATTTATAGAGAATATTATATAGAAATTAAAGAACCATACAAGATCAGATAAGTAGTGTATACCCACAAGTAACAATATAATTAGAATAATAGATTATTAACTATTGTGTTTTAAATAAATGAAGTATAAGAATATTATTTATCGAAATATGTGAAAAATCTGATACAATCAAAATATTAAACGATGGAGATTTTTAACATAATTAATATGTTCTTAAAAAAATTAAAATCGATGCAAATTGTTTCGTATAAAATAAGCTTTTATACTGCATTAGATTTTATTTTCCGTTATTCTTTTGCTTAAATTATGTTTTAAAAATTTCCCTGGTTAAATTAAATATTATTTATACATTCATCGACGTTATCTCTATCTAAATCGCTAATGAGCATTATTATAATACGTTTAATGCGGCAGTCGTTTCAAATATCACATTTTTAATTAATTACACCAGTTCAAGGCATTTTATTGCAGGCGATAAAAATACTAATAGTTTGACAAAAATGAACTAACCGAAAAATAATTATTATAATGACAAAAGTGCTAATAAAATTATATCATGACAATGCAAGTTAAAATTTATCTATTGAAACGTATTCTATCGTGGCACGATTTTCATCATAAAAATTAATGTTTTAAAATAACATTCCATAATGATTGTGTTTTATATGAAATGCAGTTTTACAACAAATGACTAATGCTTGAACAATAGTAAGATCGAATATTTTTGAGATTTTTTTTCCGACATTAATAGTAAGATTTTACGAGAGTGCGTGACACGATGAGTTTAAAACTTAGGTGCATTTTCCTGGCACTTCAACGCTTAAATTTTGGATTTAAACCAAGAACTTTCGTTTTATTTTTTCTTCAAAATATATATATATATATATGTTTAATAGAAAATAGCTGATATCAGAGCTAGCTTACTGTATTAGAAAACAATTTTTATATGATAAATAAATTATTCGTCAAGAGATATAGTTTTAATTTGGAAACACAGGCATTCTAAATTCAAATGGATTCGAATTGAATTATGTAGTTTTATATTAAAAAGGATGTATTTACAGGCGGTATGTCAATCGATATAAATTTAACTCAATGTTATCCAATCAATTGAATTCGTAACACAAGCAACAAAAAAACACGACCCAGAATCAAACCGTTTGACATATTAGTTTTTCATTTAAATTCCCTCCGTTCAATTACCAAAAAATAAAATATATACA